GACTACTACTGTAATTTCGTTTCGAATCGTAAAATCAACCTTCGATCAATAATCATCTCGATTTACGAGGATGTCTGTCAAAGAAGATCAGACAAGAGATTAATACGATATTAACCTCAGCGAGCAACAACAATCTGGAACAACGCCTGAGTAGCGTCGTCCCCGTCAAAAGTCCGGGAAGCGAAGTAATCTCCTCTGAATAATCTACTCTAATGCAAAGTAACACCCTGTTAAATACCGGGGGAAACGTAAGTTGGAGGCAGTATCAAATATTCCAACGATCGTCGACGATTTGCCGAGGAAACGGGACGAGGGATGCAAAGGGGGTGAAAATCCACTTCCCGCCGGTTTGTAATTGTATCAAAAAACAATGGACGCCTGGAGTTGCCGAGTAGACGGCTACAACAAATACCGAACTCGTCGAAGTTAACAATCCAGCCAGTTTGAAAAGAGGCAGCTGGCGGCCGTACGCCTAATTCCCAGACGAGTCGTTCACACCGCGTATCCGTTCCGCGTTCGCGAGACGCAACTTCGTCAAACGACCTTACCCGCCGTACGTTTAATTCCGAAAATCAGTTTCAGCCGTGCAGTATGAAATAACTTGGCTCGAAGAGTTCTGCCGCCGGAGAATATATCCCTCTGGGTCCCGGCTGACTCTCTGTCTCTCTTACGACGATACTCAAGAGAAAGAGAGAGGGATAAGCTTGACAAACTGACGTGCTTAAAATTGCGAAACGTTTGCGCATGCTATGGTAGATGCTAGGAGCATAAGGATGCGCAGAGTTTCCGTCACGTTGCCTCGCGCGGTTCGAGAGAGAGAGAGAGTCCGAGCACTCTTGAATTTTCATGCTCGAAAGAGCAAAGAAAATTTATGTATCGTGACACGTTTGTTTGTAGAAAATTGTGGAATATCCCGCGTTCCAAATTTTGAATGTGTGTATCTACGCTGGTGTATCTGCTAGAACGTCGTCAAACGCCGAGTACACGCAGCTGCTGTAAAGTTGAGTCGAACTATTACAAGGAAATAACGCTAGTTTCTTTTTAAATCAACAATTTTATTGTTTCACTTAATTGACACTAACAGCAAGGAAATATATTAGATATTATTTGTAAAAGGAAGGCAACTCGAGTTTCAAAGTGTCCAAGATTGACAAATATATATTTCATTCTCCACGAAAAAAAGTTTAATTCAAGCGAAGTGAAAGTTTAATTCGACGAGTGTACTTTAATTCGTCGTTGCACCAAAAACTTGCCATTTCTTCGCGAGTATACCCGTCTATTCGCAGCTGGAAGAGACTCGCGAGGAGGATCCGGGATCCAAGAGAGACGCCTAACGACTCGACAGGTCCAATTTTATCGGGTCTCATTTCCTAATTTTACGCTGGCTCGTAACTTCGAAAGGTTCGAAGACGCTCGAGGACGCTCGCTTCGTCTCGACGGCGGACAATAAGAACACCGCGAGCAAGGATATACTCAGAATTGAGCTATTTCCTTCTCTGAACGAGCCTCGCGGTGCAATTGCAGCGAACGCTACTTACACAGCCGGCTTAATCCCTCCCCTCACCCCTCCCCCACGCCAATTAACTCTCCCGGCTGACATAAGAAGGCTATTAAACACACCGTCCCAATTTCAAGGGTCCAAAAATTACTCGGCAAATTGCGTCTCGGTCAAGTCTTCATCCGACCCGTGAATATCAAGAACGTTTCAGCCTCTTGTAAGCTAACTTGTCTCGAGAAACCAGCTATTCATCAACGTCAATTAATTTCATTAAATTTCATTTTAATATCGGGTAAACGATAATTTCATCGCACCATCATAATATCCTTTGAAATGAACGATTGCTGATTAAACTTTAAAAAAGAGACTGTTGAGTCGCGTTCTATAAGTTGCTATAGTGTTCGTGTTATAACTTAAACACAGAATTAAACTATAATATAGTACAACTAATACTATATAACTATATAGTAGCTACTACTATACTATATAACTATATAGTAGCTACTACTATATTATATAACTATATAGTAGCTACTACTATACTATATAACTATATAGTAGCTACTACTATACTATATAACTATATAGTAGCTACTACTATACTATATAACTATATAGTAGCTACTACTATACTATATAACTATATAGTAGCTACTACTATACTATATAACTATATAGTAGCTACTACTATACTATATAACTATATAGTAGCTACTACTATACTATATAACTATATAGTAACTATGATACTATATAATTATGATAGAGAATAAGCCAAAGATTACTCGTTAAAAATAAATCAGTAACTTTTTTAATGTGTAACTGAAACAATCATTTTAACTGATGATTTTCTTTTAGACATGAAAAATATCCCTTGGATTTAAAATTTAAAATTAAGAAAATTGATTTCTTCTTATATCTTGATGTTTTATGCCAACGAACACTTTTGGTTCAACCTTGTATGACACAGTCGCGTTTAAAGTGAGTTAAGAACCCGTAGTTTTAGTTCAGTTTTAATTGAGAGCCCGAACACGGTTTAGTTTCTTCCGAAAAGTCACTAACTGCTGTCAATCAGATGTTTTTCTCCAAGTTACATAGGAGTATGCGTACTACGCTGTCTAGACGTTGCTCTACCGATGATTTACACATGATACTACGGCAATCGGTCAGAGCCAACGAAGCAAAGCTTCGACAACACAGAGACAAGATTATAGTATTACTCTAGAATACAAAAAAAAAAAAGATCCAGACAAATAACTCTTTAGTGATCGATAAATCAAACTCTGGGACAATCGCGGAGAGATCCGTTCGCGTATGGCAAATAACGTGATTGAACAGTGGCGTGACACATCAACGAGGACGAGGCGAATCGAAGGAGGCAACTAACATGATTTAACAGAATTCTACGGAACACACGAGAAACACACACATATCGAGAGAGAGAGATTCAAATGAGAGGAGCGAGAGCGAGAGTAAATCAAGCGCACGTGACTCGCGACCAGCGTTAACCGCTCTCACGGGCGGAAATGGGATCAACACCTGCATGTATCATCGTCGTGAACGTCAGATGTGCCGGACGATCACAGACGCGGATGCTCGCCGCTTCGTACGACAGTTGCTCGAGATTGTACAAGCATCCGGCACTCGGCCATGTACTGAATGGATTTGTCAAGCTGTTCGAGGACCACGCGATCGGAATTTCGGGATTAGTTTGTCGCTGTTGCTTTTAAGGTAATCGTCGGGACGAAGGTAATTTTCACCTTCTTACACGAGATAACAGACGCAGAAGAATTTTATTTCCTATTCTTATTAAAACCGTTAAAACTTTTTATTATAAAAAAAATTTAATCTTAAAAAATAAAATATAATTAAAAAAATTAATATATATATATTGTAAAATAATAAAATTTTTTGTAAATCGATTAAACAAATAAAGTATGAAAATAAAATTATTATTCCTCTAATTATAATAATTGAATTATATATATATAAAAGTAATAATGATGATGGTTCAATTAAATAAATGTTAATTGATATAAAAATTATAAAAAAATAGAATAAATTAATTGATTTAATTCTTCTTTTGGGAGATGCAACGATTTATCGCATAACTGCAATTTTCGCTAGCTACTCATACGTAAATTACGTCCTCCAACTTTTGCCAGATGCGTTAACATTTTTCACATTGATAAACTATATATACTGAGAATAATTGCTATGAACGATTTGATTGCGTTAAAAGGAAATTCTATATAATCGGTTACTTTATCGATACTACGATAAAGATTGATTCTGAGATAATTGCTCTGAAGAGAGCTCGACAATGTTCGTCGCTACGTGTTCGGGATATTTCTCGACAAACACGCCGACCGACGTTACTTTCCATTTATCGTTTGAAATTGTCATTATTTCAGAGTCGATCGAGAAATTAAAAGACTGAAGAATTGAAATTGGAAAATTCGAAGACACTAAATAGATTGGAACAAGACGAATTTTAAGCACTGAGAGATCTCCAACAACGCGAAGGATTACGGTGTAATAGATATCAAATTACAGTCATTTCTACAAGAAAATATATAATACTCGCGTGAACGTTGTCGTGGATAATGACGTTTCGATTGTTTCAGACACGATGACATGACTCTGCGATTTTCCACAGTGTGTTGTACGATTTGATGAAATATATATACTATTCGAAGAGGATAGCTGGTTATTCTGTTGCATTAACCGAGAAAATTCTATAAGATTGATCAATTGATTGGGACAATATACAACGATAAAGATTGATCTCAACACTAAAATAACCATTTGAATATTTTTTTTTTAGATACTTTATAAATATAAGACAGTATAGTTTTGCAGACTTGAATGATTCTTCGTAGAATCAATACATAATAAAATAAAAAAAATACACAAATAAAAGCTCGTGTACCCTGTTATACATTATAAAGATTTTCTGCTTCTTTTACTTCAACTCTTTTGTGATGGAAACTTTACACTTTGGTCGTCTGGCAGTTCTACCGTTCAAATAATCATAATTTCTAATAACTCTAATGAGAAATAAAAACGTGGCAAATATATATATATATATATATATATATATATATATATATATATATCATTTTGACACGAGGATAAATTCAATGTCGTTCGTTCTTGTTACTTAATCTTTAAGAACTCAAACGATCGTCGTTTAAAAGGAAATCCAAATGAAAATAATTCTTCGTTACACGCTAAACGAGTGAAGTACGATTACTCTTCTATTATATTTACATCCCCGCGTATTATACCGTCAGAAAAAGAAAAAAAAGAAGGAAAGAAAGAAAGAAAGAATGCACCACTTTCGTTCGGAAAAGCGAGAAAAACGTGACGCGATAAAGATTAAAAATTGTACCGCCGGTATTTCATACCGGGGCGCAATATTCCCGCGCGGTTACGCGATGCAACACGACGTAATAAAATTGTAAAATGGTATTGCGTTGGTTTCTTCTACTCACATTTTGTTGGCGGCGCAAGCGAGAGGGGAACTAGGAAGAACGCATCATCGAGTGGAGCGGAGATAAACCGGCTCGAGGAACGCTCGTCGGACATTTCACTTGCACTTCATCGTGTACTCGCAACGCGTGAATCGCGTTTCGTCGGATATCTACGTTACAAATTTTTCATACACTTGAGATCATGCATACACACACACACATCCAGTTAATTAAACCGCAATTAAACCGGCCGTAACGCGTAATTGCACAACGCGCGCTATTCTCTAAGATAATACTTTCATTCGCTTTAACCTCGATCGGCGTGAAAAATGGAAGAATAATATTTCAGAAATAACATTCCAGAGAAATATCCCGACCGCGCGACGTTCAATGGCGAACTGTCCCATCGAACTTTGCCTCTGTTATTATTGCTTTCGAACGCCTTGACTCCGAAGCACGTAACTATTCTACATCTCGAAGGAAACAAAGCTAGCTATTTAAACGTTTCTCCGTACTAAATGTAACCACCGCGATGCACTGTAACATATCAAATAATTCAAAATGTTCCAAACAATATTTTATTCCAGAATATATTTATCCAATGTTATCAAGTTCGTTGTTCCGTAAAATGATAATTTGCTGTCAGATTAAATATTTTTCGAAACGAAGGTTCCAAATATTATTCAAACACATTGGGTACTGTGTGCGTTTGTCGATGAACGTTATACGCTGGGTGACTGAAGAGCGCGGATTGAAGCCTGAGTGAGTCACGATTACCTCGAATAAGGCAAGCGTGCTAATCTCGTGGCCACGGTATCTCTTTTATCTTTTATCTTATCTTACGATAAGTTACCAACAAGGTGTATTTCTGCGAGAGATAAAGAAGCAGCAAGTTACTTTTATCTTTGCCATGTTTTAACAATGTAATAACTCCAGTTTCTGCCGAAGTCCACGGTATAGATGCTAGAAGTGAGATCTACGGTATCGACGATCGATGAAACGATTTAGAAAATGAACCCCGCTCCCGTCAGTCAGCCATTGCTCCGCGAGAACTATATTCAATTTTCACGCGCCGAAATTAATACGAAATGACGGAAATGAGATTATTAAAATATAAGTCAACGACTATTAAATTTATCTTCGAAACATTATTACAACGGGCAGTAAGTAATTTTCTTAAATTTAAAGTTACACAAAGGGACACACATTCTGTGTGTTTACCTGCTGTCTGCCTCTTTTTCCTTGCTTTGCGACACTTTGCTACCTCGAGACGTCTTCTCTAGCGCCACTCGCTATTAATAGAGACCACGTACGATCGAGGAAATGTCGCGTTCCGTGGACTTCGGCCGGCGGAACAGTATTTCACACTGATTACGTCTGGATATGTTCGTTGAAAATAATTGGAAAAATTCACCTCGCGATACCGACGTCTGCCAAGCTGTGTGTGTCACTGACCATGGCCTACAGCAAACTGCGCGAAACAAAATGCGCAGCAAGCCGAGCACACGTGTTCCTCGCGATGTTGATGTTTGATACTGACTTCGTGTGCCTCCCGAGACAACCTTTTCCAACAATACGCGCTGTCATTGACGAAACAGGGTCAACGCTCCCGTCACTCTAAATTAAGCGACTAGTAATCCTCAACCTTGGCCCCGCTGTCTCTCGAGACTCTTCGCTCCTTTCGAATTTACAATGGAGGAATTTGCATGTTTCGATGTTGTTTTTTTTTTTTTTTTTTTTTTTTTTATAACGATGGTTCGTTTACATATATATATTCGATGGTTCGTTTTTCTTGACAATTTTCTTTTCTTGCGCTGGAATGACGTGCCACGCACGGTGAGAATTTTTTGTCCCAAAATATTTTTTCAGTATATTAACATTTATAATATACTATATATTTATAATATAATATACTATATATAATATTATAATATATAATATAATATATTTTAATATACTATATATTTATAATATAATATATTTTCTCAGTATATTAATATTTATATAATTTAAATTAATAACTATATATTTATAGTATTTATAATATACTATATATTTATAATATTTATAATATTTATAATATAATATATTTTCTCAGTATATTAATATTTATAATATACCATAATATCCTTAAATAATAATTATTTAAGTATATTTAGGTATAACCCAGGCAAAGCAAATAATAAATTTATTACTTCTCAATAATTCTATCCGGTAATCAAAAAGAAAGCGACGAATACGGTTTGATCGCTCGTTACGGTCCGCAATCAGTTGCCAGCGCAAGTGGTTAACCTCTTTTTGTCCCAAAATTGCAATATTTTCTCAGTTTTAGGTATATTTTCTGTATAACCCAGGCAAAGCAAATAATAAATTTATCACTTCTCAATTTCTATCCGGTAATATACCGACGAGTTCGAAAAGAAAGCGACGAATTGTCGTAATCGGTGTTGGTCACTCGTTATGGTCCGCAATCAGCGCAAGTGATTAACTAATTTCTGCAACTACGTTTACGAACAAATTCTCTTACAATTTTTTTTTTTTTTTTTTACGTGGTGACTATAGTGAAAGAAGCAGAGAGAAAGATCCAAGGTCGAGAATGATACAAAGTCGTACCGAGATCGTGAACGGTTCACAGTTTCTAACTGCTTCGACAGCACTGTACTGCGCGTTTCGCTATAGTCCCGGCATCGAGAGAGAGAGAGAGAGAGAAGGAGAGAGAAACAAGAAGGTAGAGAGGCACGGAGGACAGTGAAAAGAGTCACTGGTTGCTAGTGCGACAAGGACGGATCGCGTCTGGATTCCACGATCCCGATAAAGAGGAACGAACATTGGTCAGACAGAGGTGGAGAGACGAAACTTACTCAAATCAATGTCCAGGTGAAAGGCTCGCAGGCCTGTGCTCGCTCGTGCGACCGCCATGTTTCACTCGATGTTTCAATATTCTCAACATTTTCCTCTTTCGTTGAAAATCTCCGTAGCAAACGGAGAAACGAGAAAGCAGGGAAAAAACGTTTCACTTGTGAAAAAGGAAATGTATAAATGTAGGTACATCAGCTCCGCGATTTTTGTCTTATTTTAATACTCGAACGTTCGAGTATTTCTTATTTTACAGGGAAGAAAAGGAGACGTTTCTATCGAGAAGCAACTTTCACTCGTTTCTATGGTTTTGTACTTGTAAACAAACGTGTACAAAAAAGAAGGTAACTCAGAGTTGAGAAATTGATATATAAAATTTGGAAATTTGGTGAGTCGGTGAGTAAAAAATTCGGAGAAATGAGAAATCCAGCCTCGCCTGTCCATCGTGCAATCACGCGAAATTGTTAAACGCATTAACGTCGAATTTCGGAGGCGGCGCACGTAACCTAATTTAATCGCGCCGGACTGATCGAAACTGCGAACAATTAATTAGCGATGCGCCGGACATTTCACGAGGAAATCCGACAGGTGGACACGACGATCTGCTAAGTTCTGGTTACCGATTAGGCCTCCTGGACGCGACAGGTGGTCGAAATTTGTCCTGGCTGCCTCATGAAAAAATCACGCAGATCTATCCGTGTGTGATGAATCACGATCGTGAACACTTTCGTACCGATACGAGATTCGATATTGCAACGTCAGAAACGTAATTGCTCGATACAGAATGTTTAGTCGAAAACTGACAGACAGATGTGATTTGTTGTTTCGATGGAAAGAAAGAAAAAAAAAAAAAAAAAAAGGAGGAGGAGAAATAATCGTGTCTGACAGAGCTTCGGCGAAATCGAGCACGCGATTTCCCTGGGGAATTGAAATTTTAAAAGCGTCTTTAACTTCACGGCAGCTCGAATATTTTCGTCGCGAAACTCCGTCCGGAATAGCGCGCACTCCAGAAATTCATGCAGCAAACTCTCGAAACGTCATATACGCGCGAGACGTGATGCTTCGGCTCCTTCAAAAATTCCTTCGTGCATAATGTGAAATGATACACGGGCACGCGTTCTTGTTACGAAGAATTCACCGTGCGTATGTATCGCCGTGAAGTCTAAAATGCATGTACAAACCGGATAAGAAGCGAGAACGACATTTTTGATCTTCGAATTCGACAGACGAATTCTCTATCTTTTCATGCTCAGAAGTCTTAGGACACTTTTATCATGAATATTCAGTATTATTATAGATATATTATTCAGTATTATTACTATTATATAATATTCAGTATTATAAAATAATAATAATACTAATAATAATAATATATTATTATTATTATATTCAGTATTATTATAGATATATTATTATTATATATTTTATATTATTTTTATATATTATTATTATAGATATATTTCATAATATAGTACAATATATTAATATACCAATGGAGTCTTTATTGCATAAAGTATGTTTTACATACATTGTATTTTTATTATATTGTATCTAATTTTAATTTAAAATCGAATGTAAATAAATGTATTTTGTTTTTAATCTAATTTTACATGTACATATGCATTTTAATATAATAACAGTCTTTACTGTATAAAATACATTTTATATTTATTGTATTTAATTATATTGTGTTTAATTTTGGTTTAAAATTAATATGTAAATAAATGTATTTTATATTTAATTTAATTTTATGTGTGCGTGTACGTATTGCAATATAATAATACAAATATTAATAATACAATTAATGCAATGTGTTAACAGAGTCGTTATTGTATAAAGTATGTTTTATTATATCGCATTTATTGCATTTATAATTCATATAAATTCATTTACAATTTATAATTCATATTGTATCATTTTTATTATAGTTCTTGTCCTAAGATTTCTGAGCGGAGGTGTACGTAAAAGGCGAGCAAATTTTAATGTCGTACGTTAAAGGAAAGAATAATAACTATTTAACTGGCGTTAATTTAAACCACTGACAATCATTACATTTAATTTGGGCATTGAATATTTTGCGAAAGAAAATCGTAGAATATCAAGATCAGACGACGAAAAGTTGAAGAAATTGCAACATTCTCCTCTTGATATCCAAAATTGAATAAATTGGCGAGAAAGAAAGAAAAGAAAAATCGTACAGCAAACTTTGAAGGGTCGTTTCAAATCTTCAGATTTGAAGGTCAGTCGTGAGAAGAACTTTTTCAAATAAAAAAAAAAAAAAAGAAACAAATAGAACGAGCAACGCGTTTTGAAA